TTCTGTTCCTTCCTTGGACCATTTTTGATAGGTACTGACCTCTGCAGACTGCAAACACCCCATAAGAGCTGCAAGTTTGGAGATGTTCTGACCCAGTCATCCATCACAATGTGGTTCTTGTCAAAGTGGATCAGATCCTAATGCTGCCCATTTTTCCTGCTTCTAACACATCAACTTTGAGGACCAAATGTTCACTGTCTGTCTGATATATGCCCCCCACTGACAGGAGCCCTGATACCCAGATAATCAGTGTTACTGGCAGTGCTAACTGTGTTAGGCCTGATCGCTGTATTATTACAGATCAATCTACCTGCAGTATATAAAGACATGCATCAATAATTGTATTTATATATACTGGATTGTATATGAATCTTATTGTCTTCAGATTATCATATATAATTCTGCATATTTTAACTTTTGGTACTTTCAGTGTATTTTAATGCTGATACGTTCTACACTGTTGTACTTTTATTGTAGTAAAAGATCAGAGTTCCTCTACTGCAGTTCTCATCAATAATCAGTAGATAAACATGTAATAAACTGTTAGTAAAGCACTATAATGTAGCAGATTTAGAGACTTAGACTTAGACTTTAGACGGCTTCATATAATCCATAACGGCATTATAGTGCGTTACTAACCATTTATGATTATTTATATACAGATTGTCAGTTCAGTCACATTAAACAAAGTAAAATGTTCTAAAGAGTACAAATGTCCATAAATGCAGTACCAGCAGCAATAAAAGCAGAAGGTATAAACTGAGATGAATAAGATGAAATAAAGAGAAGTTTGTACAGACAGACAGACAGACGGACAGGTCTGGACTCACAGTCGATGTCTCTAGGTCTCTGCAGCGTCTCTCAGTTTCTGTCCGTTAAACCACAGCCAGACGAAGCAGAAGTTGAACTAAGGGAGGAGCTCACTGACTCACACCCTTCACATGGCTTTAATGTTAAAATATGAACTGCACAACCCCTGAAGGTACAAATGAAGTTCAAAGCTTCAGGAGCTGTACATTTATTTTCATGATTAAAATGTAGTATACTTTCTCTCTCTCTCTCTCAATGATGAGTTCAAGGAACAGTTAATAAATGTTGTTTCACTAAAGTCAGAGGAGACTGTGTTTAATGTGTTTAACTACAAACCAAACACAACTGCAACAACACATCATCAGCAACGTCTTCAGCTGGATGAGATCAACCTGCCATGAGTAGTACATCAAAGCATAAAACATGTCATTTGCTGTTGCTAGTAGGGGGCAATATCAATATGACTGATTGCTGTACATGTCTTCAGCGTGGGTTTGGTGCAGCTTGGACAAAGTAGACTGAAGTTATAACTGCTTCCTGTTTCATTTGGCGCCACCGCACAGACACGCCCGATGAAAACTGAAGATTTTAATATCTTTTCATCGCGAGGGTCTTTAGACTGAACTGACAGATTTATAGTGGATATGACCAATTCCCTTCCCTTCATTAAAATACAACTTGTGCAAATCAGTAAAAATTACCATTAAATTCAAAACGGCTGACTTCCTGTTGGGTTTGTGGTCCAAGAGGCTTTGTTGTTGGTCTGGTCATGGTCTCCTACTGTGGTTCCAGTCTTACAATGTACACACTCAGATAGAGACAGCTGATGAAAATCTGTGTGCGTGCATGTGGGCGGGAAACATGTCATTCTCCTCCCGCTGTGATTGAAACTGCTTCCCCTCGCTGACAGAGCCTGTAGGCGGCCATCGAAAGCCTCATCTGAGTGCTGAGTGGGAAAATCCTGGGATCAGCTGATTGCAGGTCAATTTGGTTTTATAGACAGATTGAAGAGTCTATGTGGCACCAACAACAACAACAACAACAACAAGAACAACAGGAACACTTGATTATCATCATTGTGTGTAATTATATAGTAAAACATTCCCATTGGCTGTTTGTGGAAGGACGACGTGTGCACTCATTTATACAACGTTATGGTTGTGTTGATGGTTGTGTTTATGGTTATGTTGTGTTTATGGTTGTGTTGTGTTTATGGTTGTGTCTAAGGTTGTGTTGTGTTTATGGTTGTGTCTATGGTTGTGTTTATGGTTATGTTGTGTTTATGGTTGTGTTGTGTCTATGGTTGTGTTGTGTTTATAGTTGTGTTTATGGTTGTGTTGTGTTTATGGTTGTGTCTGGTTGTGTTGTGTCTATGGTAATGTGTCTATAGTTGTGTTGTGTCTATGGTTGTGTTGTGTTTATGGTTGTGTCTAAGGTTGTGTTGTGTTTATGGTTGTGTCTGGTTGTGTTGTGTCTATGGTAATGTGTCTATAGTTGTGTTGTGTTTGTGTGTTATGGGTTGTGTTGTCGTTAATGGTTGGGTTGTTGGAGGTTGTTGGTTTT